CTTTTATATATATACACAAAAGAAAATTTATTTTATGAGGTTATTTTTATTTTTTTTGCCGGGGTTTCTGATATCGTTTTGCGAATCCGACTAGTTGTATTCATCGGGTCCCGTAGTTTCAAGGCGGTTAGTTCCACGGGGCCCTGGAGACGCGGTCGATTTGTAATGCCTTTGCTGGGGCTTGAACTGGCGACATGAAGGACTTTGTCCTCAGGCCTTTACCAGCCGAGCTACCCCTTAGGGTTATTTTATGAGTCATGTTATTGAATATAATGTTAATTTTATTATTCGGATATAACTGAATCAGAGCTAGAATATAAGTTACGAATTTGATCAAATGCAATTATTCCAGATTTTATATTTTGTCTTTAAGAAATTAATTGAATACATATACGTTATTGATTTAAAATTTAGTAACACCATAAAAGGACTAGAATTTCATATTCATAAATATTTTAAAAAGAAAAAATTATATATATTTGTTCAAAATGGAAATTGAGATAGGGGTGACTTTTCGAGAATCTAATAATCTTTATTTGCACTCTGTATATGTATTAAAAACTTTATTTGTATTTTATAAATATGTAATTAGAACTCAGTTATTATTATAAATTAACTTAAAATTATTACAAAAACTCATAAATTTTAAATTTTGAATTTGTTTTTAATCGAGGGGTAATTGCTTATCTTGTTTTCTAAAGTAACTCAAAAACCATTATTTGATTTTTGATCAATTGCACAATCATTAAATCACTTTAATTTGATTGTGAAAGTGTAACCTTCTAATAGTTAATTAAGAGAATATTGTTTAGAGTTATCCCTAGTCTAATTAAAGGTCAGCTGTTATATTGGAGTAATTAATTTTCTCATTAAATATTTTAAAGGATCTTTTTCCTTTATTTTTTAAACCTTAAATTTTTTACTTATATTTGTTTAGGATGAACCATACATGTTCAATTTGGGAAAACCAATGAACAAAAATTATATAGTTAAATAGAACTTTTAAATATGTGCAAATACAAAAAAAAAAAAAGGAATTTTTAAAATATGTGCAAATACATTTTGCTAATGTAAATTATTTAATTTGACAAAATATATTGTGTATGATATACTTTTTAGAGGTAGATTTAGCACATCAAAATTTAGTGGATCCAAATTTACTTATAATTTCATTCAGTATTACTTTTTGGTGCAATGGAAACAAAACTGAATAAAGATTTTAAATTTATAAGTAAAAAGGGAATATATATAATTTCAACTCTATATAAATGTGCTCACTATTTCGTAGTTACAAATTATGGTGAAATCTTGATTTTGTAATTTTGATAAATCTATGAAACGTATCGTGAAAATCTTTAAAATAAGATGAGAGACCTAGATTATCATGTTGAAAGAGAAAATTCACTATTAATCGATTTTATTATTATTTTTTTCAAGTCCGATATTTCAAATCAAATTTGATTATAAAGCATAATATTATTATGATTTGGTCAATTACATTGGCATTGTCTAAACACTCGGTGCATGTACGTTTTTCCTTTTATGGATACTCTTATGGTGTGGTATGAGAAAAGAATAACTAAATATGGAAAATCATAATTTATTTGAATTAAAACAATTATGATAATATTTTGATTTTTTGGAAAGAAAATTAAAACTCCAATATTATACTAAGGGTAAAAATATCAAGTTAAAATCCTAACCAAGTAAATCTTGTCACTTTCATAAACTGTGAAAATTGAATTAAATAAATCTTGTTTTTAGCCCTTAAATTTGATAAGATATTGAAAAAGAAAAGCAAAGAGGTGTGATGTCAAGGAACACTTTAAAATTTTAAAAATATAAAAGAGTGATACTAAGCCAAAAAACATATTTGTTTGGATATTAAACATCAATAATGACTTTCAAAAGATAAGTTGATTGAGGCCATCAAATTGTGAAAATCATTAAATGAAAAAAAAACAAATCCCCACAAAGTATTTCTATTGATTTTTTTACCGATTATACATTCAGTTGATTAGGAAATAAGTTATTTCAAGATAATTATTGTGAGATTAGATAGTCTATCTTTCACATGGGATAAAACAACACGACAATTTCGTAATAACTATTTTCGAAGTAAGTAATCTCGCAATTTTATCCAAACATGGAATAAACCCATTACTAATGGATATTTTTCTCAAATACATTACAAATATTTTGCATTATTGACTATTGCGACTTATAATAATTCTTACGTAGTTTTTAGATATATAAATTCTACTTCAAAAAAATAATTTTTTAATCCAAATTTACATCTAACATCAGTTAACTTGACTCTCACGTTACTAATCAAGTCAAACAAATTGAAACATAAATGCAATTACTATGCATTGAAGTTATAGCAACAACTACAAATCACTACACGTGTAAAGTTTTCTTATCCAATCTAAAAATGACAAATATTTGTTGAGAAAATCCATATTTTTAACTATTTTGAGTTGTATAGCAAATAAAAAATGTTATTTCAACTATAATAAGATAATTGAAGATTAAGTCATATACTTAACGAGCCTAATAAGTTTAGTGAGATGATATTGTAAATTAGTTAATAAAGCCCGCAATGAGAAGGCCCGTTAGGTTTTATCATTTGCAATTAGGTACTCTACTCTAACTCCTATATAAGATACTTATTGACTCTTTGACGCCGTCACAACAAAACTGAGCGAGGCTGACAACTCATCAACGCCGTCACAACAAGATAAGAATATCCCGTTTATCTACTTGTCTACAATTTAGGTATTCCATTCAATCTTAATAACATTTAATTATTTTACCTCCTATTATCATGTTTGATCTAAAATTTTATCATGTAAATTATACGTAAAAAATCCTCATTTTTATAAATGTTTATTATGAAAATGTTCCAATCAAATGGCCCCCACCTTCAAGAAACCAACATTTTAGGACCTCATCTCATGTGATTGACATCCCTATTTATTTTTGTCTTTTTAGGGTTGATTTAATTTTAATTGAAAACTTGGAAAATTAAAGGAAATGAAAAATAGAAAAGGGAAGTAAATAAATAAAAATTCCATATCTTTCAAAGAATTATAATAAGAACTAGAAATCAATCACATGAAAAATGTTGTCAAAGTTCATGTTTCTTATCAATAACAAAGATTTTACTTTTAACAAAATTTAGAATTATATTTAGCGAGATAAATATAGTATGAAAAGAAACAATTCAAGTTAAAATGATATAATTTAAATCACATTATTATTAGACGAATTTTTTTTGCTAATACAGATGGACTAAATTGAATTAAAGATAGATACAGATTCAACAGAATTCAATAGTGCTGACTTAAATTAGATTTTTTCTAAATTATTAATTAAATTTAATCTTTTAATTAAAGGGAATAGTTTTTTAATTTGGGTCACATGGCTTTTTTTATTTTTATTTTTTAAAATCACGTGAAATATTACCCCACTAACTTTAGTAGATTATTATTTTCTTATGGAACCCTAAGTCTCTTACTAAAATTTTTTAATTGTTCTTTTTTATTGATGGTTTGTTTATTTTATTCCTTTTTTTGTTTAGGTTTTTTTAGCACACCAAATAAGTAACTTAATTGACAATTGTTTGACTAATAAAAGGATTGCTTCATATTCTCTTAAATCCTAAATAGCATAACGAATAAGTACTTTATTCTTTTATTTATTTAAACAATTAAAAAAATTTTAAAAATTATTTTCTCTTTTATCGATTTAATAATTTTGAAAACGTTACCTATGAAGAATTGTCTATCCTCGAGACTCCCCCCCCTCGAGTTTAATCATCTGGAAAGCGAAGTGCTTACCTATAAAAAATTTGTCTATTTCGATATTCTACTCCACTCTACCAAAAAGAAAATTTAAAATAAACAACGAAATAAATATAGAAAATTAATTTTTAAAAGAAGTAATTATTTGATTGAGATTTAAACTTTATACCTATTTGAGATTAGGTCATGATGCATTCATTATAAAGGTTGTTTTAATTATGACTCTTTTCCTATGAGATTTATAGAACATAAATAAAGTGTAGAATTTTTTTGTAACTTTTTATTTTATTTTATAATTTATTCAAATTATAGAAAATTATTTCCTCGTACTAATTAAATCCATCACACCAAGACAACAATTATTTGACAAAAGATTATTGTAATCGTTTGGTCACTAATTACAATCATTATAAAATAACAAATTCATAATTTCTTAGATCTTTTTATTCCACCCATTTCTCCCTTTTCTTAGACATATTCAATAATCCATTTATCTTCCAAATACACCATATTGTAAAGTAATTATACATAAATTATATACGGTTAATATTTACATAAAAAATAATTGTTATTTTAGAATCTCACATAAATTTCGATTTGAGAAATTAAAATACTTATTTCATAATTATATAATCGTATCCTTTCCAAACTTCACTTCGATAACCAGATTACTTTTTGTATTTATAAGTATTTATGTATTAAGATTTTCCTCATAGTATATTAATTGACTTGGACCTCTAATAAAGTATAGTAGTTTTTTTCTTTTAATAATACAACAATAGTCCCCAAAGTTTTATTTATTTGTATTTTAGCCCCATTAGCTTTACAAAAATACAAAGAGGTACCATAATGGGGACCTCTAAAGAGCAATGCTAAAGACACGGAGCTAGCACCGCTGGCTCTAAATTTTATTTCACCTAATATAAATTACCCTCAACTCAAAATTATATTACAAAAATACCATACCCCTTAATTAGAATCATTATTCCAAATATACCCATTATCTTTCCATTCCCAAAACACCCTTTTAGCGACATAAACGCAAGGACTTTAATGTCATTTCAAGCAAATTTCATTATCCATTTCAATCCATTAAACCCAATGGCATTTTAGTTATTAATTCACAAACCAAGGGTAATTTCAGTTATTAGGTGTATATATACACACTTGTTGCCCTTGTCATTCTTTTTTCTTCTTATATAAATCTTTCCATTCCCCCAAACTCTCTCTCTCTTCTCTCTCTCTATTTCTCTCCGGTAATAATTCTTCCTCTTCTACGGCGGAGCCACCGCTAAAACCACCGTCCGTACACCGGAATCCACCGTTTCTCGCCGGAATCCGGCGATCTTTGTCTAGATCTTTCGTCGACTTACCGTCAAACTCACTACCCTCTTTCTTTTCTTCTTCTCCAGTAATTTCTCTTTCAATTTTAATCTCTTTTTTTTACTGTATTTTTAATTGAAAAAAAAATTATATATTCTACTTTTTATATTTATATTTTTAATTTTCTCAACGAGAAATGTACCTGTTAGAGTGAATTTACTTTTCTAACCTTTTGCTTTATTTGTTTTTATCTTTCCAAACCCCATAATTCCTTAACCGTAACTTCACTTTTTTTTTCTTCCTTTTTTATCGCTTTTTTATTTTATTTTAAAAGTGCGGTGACGTGGCATGCTGTAGATTAAGATTGGACGGCTAGGATGAATTATCACTCACGGCGAATCTTAACTCTTGACGAGTCATCACGGAAGCGAAAAGACCGAGACACGTTTTATTCGTCTCCAAGACCGTCAAATCCACTAACGTCCGTTAGTAATGCTAACCTTACGACGTCGTTTCCTAAACCCGACCCCAAAAAAAAGGGTCATCCTCCTCATCAAATGCCTAATTCAGTTTTAGCCGGGTATATGGCTTATGAGTATTTAACTAAAGGTACTTTATTGGGTCAGAAATTTGACCCGGCTCGACCTAGAGCTAATGCTGCTGCTACTCCTGTAGCCGACCCGAAGAAGAGAAAGTCGAGCCCGGATGAGCCGAAGCCGAGCCAGAATTATGTTGAGATATCTAGCTTGTTGAGGAGTGATGGGACCCACATTCCTGGTATTGTCAATCCGACGCAGCTGGGACAGTGGATTCAGATGTGACATTTTAAAAATTAAGAAAAAAAAAAGGCGGAGGCTTGAGACGAGACGTATCGGAACGGAACAGAAAAAAATGATACGGTTTTTTATTATTGTTATATTGTTGTTTTTGATTATTATTTGAATTTTGTGTTGTTGTTATTAGATGACTCATGAATGTTATGTGCTGACTATAGACAGCCAGCTTTCATATATATATTACTACTATCTTGTTTATTTTTCTTATGTTTTATTTTTTGATATATTTATTAATTTGTCATGATATTTTCATGATTTTGGGATATATGTGTATATATATACCACTATATTCATGTATCGATCATCGCATATGTGCATGCAAAAAAAAAAACATATTTGCATGGACGTGTAAATGTGTGTCTTGGGTGGGTGCTTTGGATATCGTGTCTCGCGAGCTAATCTCAAAAATCCGTCCTTAGTATGGATTGCGGGTTGTGTGAAGTTAGAATTGCTAGTAATCGTCGATCAAATTATATGATTGTGTATTTGTTTCCGGACCTTGCGTATACTATCGGGTTGGCCATGTTTGAAGTCTTTATCTTAACAACCAGGAGGGAATGCCGAAGACAGGGCTAGTGACTAGAGTGTGTGTATTCCTGAATAATCTCAATTTTTCAATTATTCAATTATTTGATTTTATCAAGTTTAATGTTAGCTAGATTAGTTAACATTTATCTCTTTCGATGCAACAATAAGGTCTTTTTTTGTAACAAGTGATTTTTTTGGTTGGTTAATTGGTCACATTTTATTCATGAAATGACTTGGATTAGTATTAGTCTGGATACACGAAACTTATAGAGTCGTAACCTTCTACTTTCTTCTCCAACTCAGTCAATCGATAGGTTGAGGCAATCAATGTGTTAAGGTGAGCTGGGGTGGGGTGGTGGCGGTGGTGGTTGTGAGATGAGATATTAATGATTTATTTTCATATCTCAATTTAGAATATAGAGATGGAAGATATTTAATATTCATGCTAGTTAATATGAAAAAAAAAACAAAGATGCGCTTTGCTTTGGTAGTAGGAAAGTAAGCAATTTCTGTTAGAATCAGAGCTTATATCGAACTGATTGTGTTATATGCGATGTCCATTAGTAATGGTTCGTTAATATTCATTGATTTAGATTTCTTTCCCCTTTTCAATTATGAAAATAATCGAGATGGCTAGTCGCAAAGCCCCCAAAGAATGGAAACATACATCAACTCACTACTCATCCTCTCTTGAATGTGTAACTCGAGCTACTAAAGAGAAGTAGAATTCAAGTCAATCGATCTTATTTCAATTACGTGTACTGAGTAAGAGTAGGTCTTCGCAAATCGTCGAACCGATAGAGTCAAGTACTAATAACAACAGCAAAAGAGGGCTGGACATTACTTGTGTGAGTAAAATAACTCAAAGATATATTAACATATTGGCTACCTATGTTTTATAATAATTAAGATGCGCTCAAATTGATCGGTCATTGTTTTCTTAAAAAAATAAATTGATAACTCTATTTCATTAATTAAAAGTCTCAAATTTAACTCTCGAGATATAAATTTTTTTTAGTAATAAATGAGAATTGTTTACATTTTAGCTATATTTTGTAAGATGATTGGTAGGATGTGAAATTCTATGTTTAATTAATTGTACTGTATTGTTGATGATCAATATATCCGTTGATTAGTTCATGGGGAAATGGGTATTAATTGGATACAGTTTAAAGTTATGATAATTATTAATGAATTTCTTGTACCTAAAAAGTAAAAAAGTAGTCATCACCAATAGCTAACCTAGATTTATTAAGAATATTTGAGAATATATTATTTTTAGATAAAGATTATTCAATTGATTATCCTTTAATCAGTTAATTATGTGACTACGTCGTTGGTCATGACCATTTATATAAATATTTATAATTTTTATTTCAACTTACGTATGTGACATATTTTTCGTATTTAAAATAATTAATATTTTATTGACTCGAAATATACATTTGATGAGAAGTTTTTGTATTTACACATTTCGAAAGTTTTATATCACATGAATATATTAGAATGGAGGGAGTAGCGATATAGATAATTCAATTGTCTCAATTTAATTAGGTGGCGGTGACTATATAAATCATATTATTAAAGAAGAAATGATAAAATCAAATTTAAATTATTTTAAATTTAAAAAATGAAACATTTTATTTTTAAAGAAAAAGCTAAAGAAATGCGCATCGAATACATTATTACATCAGAGAGAGAATACTACAATTCGTACCATGGAAAACGACAAACCAACTATAAAGCTCTAGATACCACCCTTAATCGGAAGTCTCGAGTTCGAGTCTTGAGTATGGAGAAAATTCTATTGGGAGCCCTACGCACAGTGAATGTTGCCGGACGCAATGCGAATTTAGTCGGAGTACACACACTGACTGAATGAGAAACAAAAAAAAAACAAAAAAACTATAAAGCTAGACAGGAAGATGACAACTTATTGATCAAAAGAGAAAAAAGAATAAATATGAAAGAAAAAAAACTCCACCCCGTTTGGTCCAATTTTTATGTTGTTTTGATTCTCACTCGATATTTAATGTTTATATTGCAGTATTATAACTAAATTTATATTGCGTATAACTCATTTTGGGAGGACATTCTCTCGCAATGACTTTGATTTCGAAATATCTAATTAAGAAAGAAATAATTATATCGACGTTAAGTATGGCCCTTTTGGTCCCAATTGTTGGTCACGTTACGTGTTTCTTTAATTTGTCCCAATTGCTTTATGTTGTTTTTGAAACATATAGTTGGTTTAATTAAAGTTTGACTATATTCTTGTATTAATCTTCCAGAAATAATCAATTCTTGAAGGAGAAAAACTTTTTACTTGTAATATTAATTATCTTGTTTATATTTTAAGTTTTAGTCAGTATGCAATATATTATATTTTGGTCGTATTTCTGACCAAAAACAAAACAAGATAAGTAAAGAAACCATTTTTTTTTCTCTCAATAAGCAAAGCTTCAATATTTCCTATAATTAAGACAATAAATTAAAATATATTACAAAGATTGGTCGTATGGAAAAGATTTCTTTATACTCTTGATCACAGATTTCGAGTTTGAATCTTAAAAATTAAAAATATTATGTTGATTCTTTGAACGGAATTATTCTCTTATCATATTTAGAGACAAAGTTAAAATTAAAAAATTAATAATATACATTAATACTGAATTCAATCGAATCCGTTATTGATCCGTAACATCACTATTTACAAGAAATACATATGAATAATTATTTAGGCATGAAAATAACGTTAGAGTCTAAGAAAAATATTGGCACGTAGAGATTGAAAACTGACAAAAATATTTGTAGAAATTATTATATTATTACCCCACAAGTTTCCATGCATTCAAAATACACTTATTACAAATTCAAAATTGGATGAGCCAAGTCATAATTGCACTCTTATAAATATTCACATTTTGGTGATAGTCTCACGATGATAATATACTCAATGTAATTTGATAAATAAAAATATAAGAAGCTTAGATAATAGAAAGATTTTATTTCTATCATTGATTAAGTATAGAGAAAATCGATAAATTACATCAGATCGATAATCCAAGTCAAATAAAAAAAAACAAAATTTAATTATTATTTAATTCAATATATCTAAAAAAACCCTCAAATTTTTGAGGTTGCTTTAATTTTAACTATTAAAAAAGTCAAACCAAAATCAAATTATTATGACATTATTGTAACCTATAAATTATGTCATATTGTCATGCTCAAAATTTAAATAATTAAAGGAGGTGAAATATTTAATTGTATGCATCATCCTCAGATGGAGATTCTACCGCTTATTAAAGTTAATTCGTATAGTTAAATGAGATAACATATTTTAATAATTAACTCGTTATATAATGAAAATCTACGAACACATGTACATATTTTTCCCCCTGAAATTTGACTACAAATATATAATTAAGACACTTTATTATATATATTTAAATGCTTAATCAGAACAAATCACAGTTTAATATCTAAAAAAAATATTGATAAATTTAAAGGACAACCAATATGTTAAGCCTATTTATTTAGGTAGAATCAAGTCAAATTTCAATTCAAACTTAAATTAATTAAAGGGAAAATGGTTTGAAATATATTCAAACTTTTGACGAAAATTGTTGTTACGAGAAAGAACCTTTTATCTCTTTATATTATTTAATAGAGCATTTTTAAATGTGTATATGTGTCCATGTGGACATTATAAACATTGCATCATTATAAATAATGTGTCCAGTAGACACATATATAACTTTAAAGTACACTATTAAATAGTGCAAGAGGTAAAATATTCGCCAGAAAATTTGATATCGCAACAATTTCGATTAAAATTAAAATATTTTTCAGACACTTTTTTCTTTTTATTAAAAGGAAATTAATTGTGGTCCATCCTACTCTATCTAACTTCCTACGTTTACAAATTGTGAGCTAACGTAACGCCAATTTTTTTTTTTTTTTTTGAGAGCATATGCAAGGTAGGCAATTATCCTAAATTCCAAACTATAATTATGTTACAGATATGCAATTTTTTTTGAAATTTATAGTATTTTTTCGTATAATTTTTGAATATATAATTTTTTTTATTTAAACTATCGAATAATCTAATCTAATTCAATTTTAAAAATTAATCAAATTAATTTTCAAAAAATGCAATATAAAAATTAAAAGTGGACAGAAAGAATATTAATCGATCATAGGTGGTGGAAGACCACATGACCATATATTCTGATTAATTTTTATACACTTCAACTAATTTTACACAGAAAAAAAAGTTAACTATAAAAATATCAAATAACCTTGTTCATTAAAATTTACACAGAACTTATAGTTATAGTTATTCCTCGTCAATTGTTATTATCAAAGTTAATTTTTAAGAAAACAATGTTTATAATTGTGTTAGAATATATATATATATATATATTAAAAGTTGATTATAAGATTTAAATGTTAGATTGCGAAGGAAAGCGATTGCCACCAATAAAAGTGAGGAAGTCACGTTTTTCTAGGACGATATTGGTCGGTTCGGTTTATCAATTTTTAATTTTTAAAATACGCTAAATTAATATGAGATTTTTATTTTTATTCGATTGTTTTATTGATTTTTTATTTTCGAATTAACCTACGTGAAAATGCTTATAAAATAATCATATAACTTCTCCGATAATTTGACG